TGGTTGAATTGGCTTTCTTTGTGCAAAAAATTTCAATTTAATGTAATCAAAGTTATCCATTTTACTTTTCATCATGTTCTCTATTTCCTGTTTGGTCATGAATTCTTCTGTTCTCCATAAATCTGATAGGTAAACTATTCTTTGCTCTCCTATTTTGCTTACAGTATCAGTCTTTATATCTAAATCATGCAGCCATTTTGACTTTATTTTGGTGTATGGTGTGAAATTTTAGTCTAAGCCTAGTTTCTACCATACTCTTTTCCAGTTTTCCCAGCAGTTTTTGTCAATGAATGAGTTCTTATCCCAGAAGCTGAGGTCTTTGGGTTTATTGAATAATAGATTACTATAGTCATTGATTACTGTGTCTTGCATCCTTAACCCTATTCCATTAATCCACCACTCTATCTCTTAGCTAGTACCAAGCAGTTCTGATGATTACTGCTTCATAATACAATTTAAGATCTGGAATGGCTTGGCTGCCTTCCCCTGAATTTCTTTTCATTAATTCCCTTCTATTCCGAACCTTTTTTTCTTCCAAATGAATCTTGTTATTATTTTTTCTAACTGTAGAAAATAATTTTTGGTAGTTTGATTGGTATGACACTAAGTGAGTAAATTAGCTTAGGTAGAATTATCATTTTTATTATATTAGCTCCACCTACCTATGAGCAACTGATGTTTTTCCAATTATTTAGATCTGACTTTATTTGTGTGAAAAGTATTTTCTAATTGTGTTCATATAATTCCTGGGTTTGTTTCGGGTGGTAGACTCCTAAATATTTTATAATGTCTGCAGTAAGTTTAAATGGAATTTCTCTTTCTATCTCTTGCTGTTGGGTTTTGTTGGTAATATATAGAAATGCTGATGATTTATATGGGTTTATTTTATAGCCTGCACCTTTGCTTATTTCAGGTAGTTTTTGATTCGATTCTCTAGGATTCTCTAAGTATATCATCATATCATCTGCAAAGAGTGATAGCTTTGTTTCTTCTTTGCTTATTCTAATACCTTCAATTTCTTTTTTTTTTTTTTTTTTTTTTTTTTGCTAAAGCTAATGTTTCCAGTATGATATTGAACAGCAGTGGTGATAATGGACATCCTTTTTTCACCCCTGATCTTATTGGAACTGCTTCTAGCTCTTCCTCATTACATACGATGCTTGCTGAAGGTTTTAGGTAGATGCTACTTATTATTTTAAGGAAGATAGCTTTTATTCCTGTGCTCTCTAGTGTTTTTAATAGGAAGGGATGTTGTATTTTGTCAAAAATTTTTCTGCATCTATTGAGATGATCGTATGGTTTCTGTTAGTTTTGATGTTGATATGATCAATTATGCTGACAGTTTTCCTTATTTTGAACCAGCCCTACATTACTGGTATAAATCCTATTTGGTCATAGTGTATTATCTTTGTGATAAGTTGCTATAATCTATTCGCTAATATTTTATTTAAAATTTTTGCATCTATATTCATTAGGAAAATTGGTCTATAGTTCTCTTTTTCTGTTTTGACTCTTCCCAGTTTAGGTATCAGTACCATATTTGTATCATAAAAATAATTTGGTCAGGCTCCTTTTTCACCTATTTTCCCAAATAGTCTATATATTACTGGAATTAATCTTTAAACATTTGATAGAATTTGCCTTAAAGAGGGAGGTGACTGTGAGTAGAGAGAAGTGGCCAGATGTTTATTTGCTTATGTCATTTTCTCATATAGGATGAAGCCTTACAAATAAACAAATGAGTGAAAATTCACTTATTAAGCACCTACCATTTGCCAATCACTGTGCTAAGGGCTAGAGATGCAAATATAAAAGACAAAGATAATCTTTGCCATCAAGGAACTTGAATTCAAACAAGAGAAATCATATACCTAGGTCAGTGGTGGCCAGGGATGGGGCATTTTGGTCTAGGAAGTTATAAGGTGAGTAGGGATACTAGGTGAGTACATTAACACATCCCATCCAGGAGCAAAGGTAGTGCTGACTTGATAATGGCTCATGAATGCAGGACTTTGTAGGATGGGAGGATGGACATATAGGATGGAGGTGAGATGACCAGAAAGGAAGTTGTGGAGAAGGTAACTAGAGATTAAAGAGGGAAAGGAAGCAAGGCTGGGGCTTTCCTAAAATAGAACTTCATAAGCAGCAATCATGTCATATGATCTGGTGCCCTAGGGCAAAAGTTCTTCCTGGGCTGGGATTCAGGTATAGGATGTGAGGTAGTTAACTAGGAGGCTGTGGGAGGTAGCCAGAGAGGAGGGAGTGATCAATTTGCCCTAGGTTACACTCATCCTACATGTTCTTGGTCTTTCCTAATACATCACTTCCCTCCACAAAGCACTTTGTTTTAAAAGTTATTCTTTGTTATTCCCCAGTTGATAAATGGTCAAAAGATATGAACAAAATGTTTTTAGAAGAAGAAACCAAAGTTATCAATAGTCACATGAAAATATGTTTTAAATCACTATTGATTAGAGATATTCAAAATAAAATATCTCTAAGGCATCATTTCACACTTATAAGGTCAGTTAACATGAAAGAAGAGTGACAAAAAAGGAATGGGATGTGGAAAAATAGGGTCACTAATGCATTGTTGGGAGAGTTGTGGACTGGTTCAACCATTTTGGAGAAGGATTTGGGACTTTGCCCAAAGAGCTACAAAACTGTGACTCCATAGTGACTCCAGTGGAGATATTAGGCTTGAAGCCTCTCTTGCCACTAACTACTTAGTCGTCACCTCCTCTTTTATAACAAGTGATGAAATGAGAAGCAAAAATGCACAGGATTAATTTATTCTTATGACAAATGTAATAATAAGATTAGATGATACAGCACATTGTTAACATTCCTATGACTGTCATTTGGGGATATATAGGGCTTGCAACTTGGATTTCTTTATTAAACAATCTATTTAAGTTACTCTTTGCTTTCTTCATTCAGATATGAGAAAAAAGAATGGGAATATCTGGTTAGATGAGAGATTGACACCCTTAATGGATTTTATCTCTTATGGGTATTTTATTCTTCAGAAGCAGTAACATTTTCACACATTGGTGTAAAAGGTTCTTGGTCCACCTAATTTGTGGTTTGCAAGATTTATAATAGCTTTTTTTTTTTTTTGGTGGTCTGATGTTGCTATGAGGGCAAAGCAGCCAAAAGAAGAAATTTATATATTGTGCTTTTTCAAGGTAAATCTATTTTTAGCATGCCTTCATTGATTTTCTCATTGAATTCCATCTTTGCTCAAAACTGTTGCTATGTCACATCAATATGTCCAAAATGATGAATGTTCAAAATTCAGTGATATTCATAGCATGCTTTTTTATCTTTATTAGGATTTATGACTGTTAACTACAGAACATTTCAAAAGGACTAGCCTTGTGATCTCATTTATGCTTTGTTAGGATTATTCTATATAAATTTCACTGCTACAAAATGACATGTCTGTTAATATCACTTCCTTGTTATTATCAATGCCATTATATTTTGTCAAGTTGTATTTCACAGCGTTTTAATTGGCCTCCACTTGTAAAGTAAGTTATGCGGAACTTTGCCCTATATGTGGAGTATCAATTTAAATGTGCCCCTAAAACTGATGACTTGAATGGAAATTAACCTAATACATATCAGACAGGTATTTCTTAATCTGTCAGGCCTATTTACAATGAAAACTTCTAGTCTACGGTAGATATTAGAGGTGAGTTCCAGTTAAACTTTTCCATACTCAATCAAGATAAAGTTTTTTTTTTAATTTTAATTTTTTGTTCAGTGACTTAAAAATGTCACATCTCAGACCTAAGAAAATTGTAGGAGGGACAAAAGAAAAAAAAAAAGAAAAAAAGATTAAGATCTATAAAAGCTTATTTCAAAAACAGGGTATTAACACATTTGGGAATGTATCAGAATAATAACCTGAATGCATCCTCTAACCACATGGATGAGGTCACTTTGTCTTTGTAGAGCCTTATGTTTTTCACATATTTCTCAGCAAATCATCAGTGTTAATGTGTTGAATTGTTCTTCTTGTGAAAACTTGGGGGAAAGAGTAGATTGTTGTGAAGTTACAGGATGCCCTAGGATTTTCTTCATGGTGTTGCATTAATAAGAAGAAAACAACAACAAAAAAAGATCTCCAAAGTGTATTCTTTTATTTAGTGCTCAAATTTAATCAACTCAGTTAAAAATAGTCAAAAAGAGTTGTTAAGCTGTTTGACTGATAAAATGAATTAGTCATGTTTGTCAAATGATATCTTAAAGTTGTTAAAATATGTCTATTCAGGACTCAATTTCAACAGTAATCAAGTTACTTTATACAAAAGAAAGGCAAACTATTTATTAGATTATATGATTTGATGTTTTCACTCTGGCTAGTTTATCCAACTCCATAAGGGAGAACAGAAGGCAGATATCAGGCTACCATTTTGGCTATTTCTGATTTTGCCATCATGATGAAGACCTAGTCTATATGTGCTCCTTTGCAAGTTATTATTCAAACTAAACTATCTTTATAATAGAGCATTCCTGCTATTTTTGGACCTATTGGGGGTAGAGGTGGGGAATTTCTGTCTGGTTTCTATCTCAAATTTCATTGGTGCAGAAAATTACTTTGTGGGAACTCATGTCACTGTTGTTTAATTTGTAATCTTAAAAAGAGGTAACCTTGGAACATTGAAAGGTTTAGCAACTTACCCACAATCAAATAGCCATTATATGCCTCAAAGACAAGTGAATCTACATCTTCTTGACTTCAATAGTGATTGTTTCTCTACTCTACTGCATTGCCATCTATTGCTAATTCTATGTTTAAGTGTGTAGGAGGCATTGCTTATGATACTTTTAAATATAAGAATATTTGTTCCTCAGCAATTTATATCTGCCCATCGGGTTTTTTTCTTCTCACTTATAGGAACACATCACTTCTTTCAAGACCATCACTAGTATTTTAAACAGATGTCCAAGCATGGATCACTTCCATAAACTGATATAAAATATTCCTCAGCAACACTATAACATTTCTGCATTCTGGAATCATCACCAAATGGGATGTCTAGCTTATAATTCCACTTTGGTAAGCAATTTTAAAAAAAAATAAATTTCACTTGATTCGGCCAACATGCATAGTAGCACACAGGTACCTATTTATCAGAACTGACAAAAGCTAAAAAACTAATTGAAATTCTAGAAAGCAAAAGCTTGCAGAATAATTTAAAGTCGGTATTTTCTACTAAATTTCTCAGATGTTTTCAGTAATAAGATTGGGATTATGATATAAAATTGATTTTAATGTTCAGTGAGTTGTATGTATGCATGCATGCACGAATGTGTGTGTGTGTGTGTGTGTGTGTGTGTGTATACACCTGTGTGTTTTGGAGAGATTCCTGTAATTAGTAATTAGTGTGGTTTTTTAAATTGTTAAGACCAAGAATATAATTTTATATGTATAAATTAATTTATGCTCTTTGCCAACTTAAAGCTAAGGTATAGTATTCAGATTTGTATCACACAAATGAGAATGCCCTAAATCACCTGTTAAAATCATGTCTGCATGTGATACTAAGGAGTTTTTTTGCATACAATTACTTCATTTGAAATTTTTTTCTGATACTACTAATTGCAAAAAGACATATTTGTTTATCTATACAGCCAGCATCATTATTGATGGGAAATTTTTATACATAGGATTTTCATCCTAAGGACAATTACAAAACCCCCAAAGTACCAGGTTACAAAACTTATTTGAAAGTAGTGTAATTAGTATAAAAAACTCTTGTCCTTCATTTGTCCCCCCAAACAACATCCTCCATAGTAGTTGCTCCCTATTAGATCAGGATGTTTGCTGGTCAACTACAAGCTAAGTTAGTAAGCTTAAAGGGGTAAGTGAGAACTATTAGGGTAATTAAAAGCGGGGGAAATATGCCACATAATCATCTTCCTTATAAGTAGGAAATGCCCTCTCATTACTATACCAATTTCTTTCTCTCTTTCAACTCCATTCAGACTATTCAAGTTCCTCAAGAAGCAACAGCAGAATAGTTGAGAAAGATCACATATAGAATTTAGGGTAATTTGGAGAAGAAAAAGCATAGATTCAAGATAGACACTTAAGATTATGTTCGTCTGTGACATGTTAGTCCTTACCACTTAAAATCATTATCCTTAATATAAGAGATAGATACATATAGATATGACACTGCTGTAAAGCTTCTAGACATAGTGCAAAGAACAATTTGCTTAACTTATAATTTAATTTAGTTTTGTAGAGTTTTTTTTTTGTTTTTTGTTTTTTGTTTTTTAGTCTGCAGCTGTGGTTTATTCATTGTAGGGAGCTCCCCATGTGAAAACAAAACAAAACAAAACACAAAAAATCTCTTTTCACTAATGCAGATCAACAACTCATCTGTAGGCAGCTTGCAATTTTATGGAATTACTTCAGTTTACTGAAAATTTAAATGATTTGTCCAGGATCACACATCCAGTATGTTTCAGAACTATAGGGTAAGTGATTAGTACTTTGCATCAGAGCACTAATTGTAGCATGTACTAAAAGCATATGTCATCCATCAGCTGTGTGAAAACAAAAGAATTGGGTGTCCCCCCACCTTGGCATATAAACAACAGAGATGAATGGCCTCTCACAGCAGATGGAGGTGAGTCTTTCTTAGCTTTGCTTGATTCCCTATCTAACCTGGTCTTTCCTATTTGTTCACTTGCTGCCCTCTAAGCAATTTATTTCAGATGGCCCAGATGTTAAAAGTTGGTCTAAAAATTAATTTAGCACCAGTTACCCAGGCCATGATTTGTGCTATGCCAGGTGCTAGAAGAGGCTCTGGAGGCAGAAGTCCAATACTGTGCTGGCCTTCTGTGTACTAGGCTTCACTGCCTTAAGTCCCAAAAGGTTACAATTGCAGCAAACTCTTCAAATTTCCAAGTTGGTATTTGGAATTCCTTAATCAAAGTTGAGTTCCAGTATTGCTTTGGTACAACATTTTCATCATGAGAATTTTTTGTAATGAGAATCCTGGCCCAAAATATTCCATTTCAGAGTCATTTCATTCTACTAGTAGGTCTTTTTCCCCCTTCTTAATCAACTGTTACCTTGTAAGATATATAGGTACAAAACTTAAAGGATGACAAGATGTTTTTCCATACTTGTAATTGCCCCATTCATTTCAAACAGGGAAATTCTCTGAACAGTCTATAACTCAACACTTCTAGTATGAGCTGAAGTAAGCACAAATTAGAAGGCTCTTTTGTAGAAATTCAAATGTTCTTAATATGAAAGTATATGTAGAACCTATATCAAATTGCACACCATCTTGGGGTGGAGGGGATGGAGAGAAAATTTAGAACATAAAATATTATGGAAATGAATGTGGAAAACTAAAAATAAATAAATTTTTAAAAAGCTGAAGGCATTTTATTAATGTCAGTTATTATTTTGAGGAAAAGAGTATGGGTTTATAAAAGACTGATTTATGGTTTGCAATGTTATTAGGTAAAGTACAATGCATGGGAGAAGATCTATTTTCTTCAAAAAGCAAATACAGGTACAACCTTTTTCCCTAATAATGGAACAAATGCTATAAAGGTACTGGTGTGCCCTCCAAGCTCCCCAAAAAACTTAGGGGAAAGAAGATACAGAGTAGAGGAAAAAGATCACTGAAGGAAAAAAATATATATATTCTTACAGCAGTTTATGACCAAGCCTGTAATCATTTCATCACACTGGGCTAATAAAAATGATCCATTTTCATCCAAAAAAAAAAAGAATTTCAATGTTCTGCTTGACAGCAGTTCTGTGAATGTCACAGAAAAATACTTTATATACTATTAGATATGTTTTTTCTCACTTTTATTTTTTCATATTTCAGAATTCATTATGTAAGTATGTACAGAATTTGCCACAAAAGTACATGGGCCTTGAATGGAAAAACTCTGTTAGATTTCAACTTGGCCATTATCTTTCCAGTGTCCCCATACAGATTGTTTCTGTCAATATTTTATTGTAATGTGGGATCAATGGTAGACAGAAGTGATGCCTAATCTAAAGCAGATGCTGTTGTAAGTAGCACGTAGCCATTGACACTGTTGAAAGAAATCAAGCTGAAGGATTTTTCTCCCTCATTCCATGCCATGAATAGCTAGAAATGATAAATTACAAACAAAGAAAAGAAAATTAAAACTACAAAGGAAAAAAAAATGTTGTGCATGCAGGGCAAATACGGTGAGGAAAAGTATTCCAAAGAGATGGTAGATATTGACTGGGATTGTGATTATTGTTTGACCTTAAACAGTCAATGAATATTGATATGACTAGAAGCATGGGAATTGACATGTGCATTATCCCCGGAATTGATCGCCTCTCACTGCCTGAGCTATTACAAGCATGATTCATTTTGACGGGAATAAGGGAACATCTTTCCAGCTGCTCCTTAGTTACAGATATATCAGGTAGGGTCCAGTCTGCCTTGCATCGATAAACTACATGAAAAGAGTCACCTGCTACTAACTAGGAAGTGAAATGTAGTGGAAATTGCTAAAATTGGGCTTCCTGGAATCTGTTTTGGTCACAAATTCTTAGAGAAAATCCATTAGGTACTCATATGTATTCCATATGTAAGTGAGAAATAAAAGTTCATTCTAATTCATTACTTACATGAACAGATTACTTTGGGAATGTCCAATAAGGGGATTCAAGATCAGCTTTGCACATCACAAAGCATATTACACTGAAAAAATTCAATGGTTTGATTGCCTTTCTCAGATGAGGTAATTAAGAAAGATCCTTCCCTCTTTTAGCTCATTGGCAATACTTTTATACATTGTGGAGCAAGAATGTTAATAAATTATATAATTTATTTTTTTTTATTTTAAAACTTCAATATCTTCCCATGTCTATCATTTCTAAAAGACTGAACACAAAGAGAAGCAACATTAAGCAGTGGGATGGGAACTCTCATTTAAGAGGGGACCCTTGGATTCAAATCTTGACTCCTATACCTGTTAGCTCTGTTTATTTCCATGAGAAGGTCACATAATTTTTCTGGGCCTCCTCTTCCTAGTTTGCAAAAAGGGAATGATAACACTTGTAATACCTACATCCTAGGGTTGTTACAAGAAATGTATTCTGTAAATCTCGAAGCACTGTATAAATTAAGAGCCTTTACCTTTAAGTAATCTCTAGAGGCCAAAATGAATATGCAATCTCAGTGTACAAGGATTTCATTTTTCCCCTGGGGACTTGAGGGAGAGGGTAAAGACTTTCTCATGCTTTGCTCTCATGTTGCCATCACGTTTGGACCAAAGGAAGCAATTAGACCCAATGTGGATCACCCAGAGCAGTTTTGTATTAGAGTGGTACATGTAACTTGAAATCGTCTAGATCTGTAGTTACGAGGAAGCCCTGGAGTTTTAAGACTTACCTTTGGTTCGAATCCTAAAGGGACAATTGTCTTTCTTAGTGGGATTGAGAGGTTTAACTGACTCAATATAACAAATATGGATTATGTATGTACAATATGCTAAGCCCTGTGTAAATCCTGGGGATGAAAGACAAAGAAAAAAATGACAAGAACAAAACATTCCTTTCACTTAATAAGCTTATATTCTACTTGATGAGATGTACTATCTCATGTAGTATATAGCTGCCATAAATGTCACAGCAAGAACAAGAAACAAAAAGGTTTGAAAATTAAGTATTACCTCTTCCTAGCACAGTTTTGGTGTATTGGAGTACAAATGATGCAGCAGGAGGACCTGACTTGAAATCAGAAGATATATCCCAGCCCTGCTTCTTACAAGGCACGTGAACTCAGTAATACCACCTCTATGAATATATTTCTTCATCTTCAAAGTGAGTATAATTTCACTTTTTCCAATTATTTCACTGGGTATCTGTAAGGAAAATGTTTTGTAAAATGTAAAGTGCCATATAAGCATAACTTATTATTATTGCTGAATATTTTAAAGTCCTCTAAAATAACTTATATTTCCTATGTCTGCCTCTTCCAATGTCTATCACAGTGGGAAAGAGAGACAAGAGAAGAAATTTCATTGAGTAGCACTGTCAATATTCTCATTCTAATTAACTTAGGTCTACACTATGATAAAGAATAGTTTGGGAAAAATAAAACACTGATTCACACCTATTACTGGTATTATGTAGCTGGTTTTTTTTCTGAATTATATGTTTCATTTTTCAAAAATTTAATTCAATCAAAGAAGGTCTTTTTACAGCTGACTACAAACTCCATTATTGGAATATAGAGCTGCTACTCTGTGACCACCAAGGTAAATCACAATCATCTAAGACCTAGGACATAAGTTCTATGCCTTTGGAGTTTCCTGAAGAACAAGGTTAAGCCAGTTGCCAAGAGGCATATAATTAGTAAGCAATACAGTTGGAATGTGCACATGTCTTCCTTATTCCAAACCAAAGAATCTGGTGATTAAATCAGGATACCTCAACAGCTTTGCTTAATATTAAACATTGAAACAATGTATGATTTTCATGGCCATTAGCGTGATCTGCCTACTCATTAGTGCTTGGTCTAGAATGACAAGGTACTGGCAATGATTATTATGAAAGACATAATTTCTTTCATCTATCTATCTGTCTATCTATCTAATCCATCTATCTATCTATCCATCTATCTGTCTTTTGTTTCATTATGGAACCTCTGTCCTGAAGCCAAATTATATGGGATTCTCTCCTTATTTGGGGAGATGAATGTCCTTTCCTGCATGATGAGTGGGGAGGAGTTGGAAAGAGAGAGAGAGCGTCAGTTCTGATCTAATCTTCTTTGAGCATCAAGTCATTTTATGCATTTCTAGCTTGCAGCTTCTAGAAGGAAGATGGAAGAGGTCAATTTCACTTTGAGTTGCTGAAGGAAAAGACTCTGACAAGATAGGAGAGGAGATGGCACTCACTGGCATGTCACTATTTCTAGTTTGATAGAGACTTTAGGGAATTTCTCTTTAGATGAAATATTGGATTCTCTCTTAGTTGAGCAGAATTACTTTGCTCTCAATGGGAGAGCTCCTCATTCTATATTGCTTCATATTTGTTCTCCTATATATACTTCCACTGATTTCTGTTTTGCTCATTCTTGAAGAGGACTATGACATCAGGGAAATGATGACGTGACTTGCAATTGACTTTGATTTGAGTGAGTGAGGGCTGTGCAAAGTCACACTTTCTCTTCCAGACCCATCTGGATCCAGTGGCCAAATATCTCTCAGGACTATTGGAGATGGCCCATGGGTTTCTTTATTATTCTCTATGTGTGTTTATAAATGTGGAACTGGTATTTGGTGGAAATAGAGTCAAAACTTAGATATAAACCCTGGAGTCTCCCTTCCTCCTTATAATGAGAAATTGTGATCAAAAGTTAGATTGAGCCTAAACATATCTCCTAGACTAATAATATTCAATGGAGGAGATAGATATAATTCTAGACCAGTACCCTTTCTCTCTGAAGAGGACAGAGTGAAAAAAGAGTCTAGAAATGTCTATTTGACATTTCCTGCGAGCTTCACAAGGATATCCTGATGCTATTGTAGGTGAGTGGATAGCCCTTTCAACACATGGAGACTTTCTACATGTAAGGCAACTCTACATTTTTATATTTATCTATTTACTTATTTATTTGTTTCCCAATCCAACAAATATTTCTGTTTCTTCCACAAATTGATTTTTATTCAAACTCCCCTAGCTCTAAGGAAAAGAAAAAAGAAATCCAATGGCCTATGCTTCTGTCTTGTTTAATTCTCTAATTATTTAGGTTTGTGGTGAAACTGATCTTTGAGTGGTGTTTTCTTTCTTTGTGCTTTTTAAAAATAATTTCGAAAGACATAGAATGTTAAAGCTAGAGAAGTTTATTAAAGAATGTATAGGGTCCGGTGAAAATCAGCAGTCCTGCTAGCTTTGGTTGTGAAAGCACTGATGATTGAAAATGGTTCCAGGCCTCAGCTTCCTAAACTCTGAAGTTTACTTAAAGATCCTCCCAAAATGGGAAGCAGTCTTCAGGGGACTGCCTCACAAACACCAAGTCAATCATTCTACTTGTGGTCTTCTTAGAGAAGGAAGTATCTACAGTGATACTATTATTTAGTCCAGATAAGTTGTTAGCGTGGTGGTCAGTCTCTAAGAAACACCTATCTTAAGCTTAGTCATCCTATGTTAACTTCCTATTAATCCTGTGTCCAGTGTGTTCTAAGATCTCTAGGCCAATAGGCAACTTGTACCCTGCCCCTTATGTTCTAGGCTGTCATTTATCTACATAAACCAGTGAACATTCCTATGATTAGCTAATAATATACAATCGCTAAGAAAGTGAATCAATGTATAGCACATTATCTATCATCTCTAACAGGGGTTCACTGAACACCATGGCTGGAAATGGAAGCCAATAAATCTATCTCATACTTAATCAATGGCATTCTTTCTGTGATTGCCTGGCAGAGGATTTTAGAGGGAACAATAAGAAAGGAATTGGAAGGAAGCAGTATAAAAGGACTTATGGTAGGAGTAAAGAGAGACAAGTTCCCTGATAATAAACACCTTAGTGTAAAAGCAAAAATGAGAAAAGTCTTCAAATTGTACATACCTTTACTTTTCTATCTTATTGATTGGGCACACACTTCAAGAAAGTAAATGACAAGAAAGAGAATTTCCGTATATAACAATATGTAACAGAACTCTGCAATAAAAATAGCATAAAATGATACAAAAAATAAGAATACCAATAACTGGAAACAATTTTTTATCACTTTAGTAATTGCTGAATAAATTATGCCATGTGAACTTTTTTTTTTTTGGACTGGATCTAAGATTTCATTGCTAAAAGCAATTCAAGGAATTTATGAAATGAATTCCTTTCATCAATGTACTTTAGGAATAGTTTTGTAACTTATAGTTTTAAAAAGCTGCCCGGGGCATGATCAATTAAGTAATTTCCCAAGAATCACACAGCCAGTATATGTTAGAGGCAGGGCTTGTGTGCAGGTCATCCTGAGTGCAAGACAGGCTTTCCATCTGCCATGCCTCCATGAACATAATAAACAAGAATAAGAAATCATGAGAAATGTTGGATGGTATAGAAAACCAGGAAGAGTGAAGAAAGGGAGGGATTTATGGGAATATATCAGGAAATTACTTTAAAAAATAAAATTTGTCCATTTTTAGAAACAAAAAAAAGTAATATGTGCCTATATTGTGTAGAAGGCGAATAAGGTCAAACTAGTATTTGGGATATTTTCAGGTATCAACAATATAACTATAATCCTCTACAACATAGAATCTACATCATACAATATGATTTGAGCACAAAGGAAAATAACCATATCATGGGATAGTAAATAATAATAATATTAATAATAACACAAATTATATTTTTGATGTTATATAATTTGCTATGTGGGTAGATTTTTTAATATATATTTTATTCTGAATTTAGTTTTGTGCATTTTCAATCAGTTACCTGGCAATATTTATATGAATTCCAACATGTCAGTCATTTACACCTATAGCACTTTATTGAGGGGAAAAAGGTGTTCCATAAAGGCTCTGAAGATAAAATAAAAAACTAAGTTTTCATTTTGCAGTATAGTAGGATGGTTTATTGACTACCTTCTTTCCAACTCCACAAATCTGATTCCTCCAAATCATTGTTTCTGCTGATGGAACCTCATTTTCTTATTTCACATCTGTGAAATGTAATATCTCTAGAAACTGAGCTCTGGTATGCATAAATCAATATTTTTAAACTCTAAATGCCTTTTTGTTAGGCATTGCTACTTTCTGATTTGGAAGTCATCAGGGCTCAAGGTATTGCCTTATTTTTTGGTGGCATATAGTGTATTTGCAATGAAATAATCAGCCAACTATGGGTCAATGAGCAAGTGCCTGTTTACTCAGTGGATTCTTAAATAGTTATATATGTGATATTCCCACCAAATAGGGCTTATTTTCCAAGAACTCTATTGGGACCATATTTAAATTGTATGGAAATATAACAATTTCAACAAACACAAGGAATATTTTAAAGGAGCACCTTAAGATAATAAAAAATGCGAAAAGAAGAGCTCTAGTACATTGGGTAGGTCCTCTATTTAATGCAACAAACATTATTAAGCACTTACTGTTTGACAGGTTCTGTAAGAGGTCCAGGGTGTACAAAGACAAAAACAACAAGAGCGAGACAGAGAGAAGACAGACAGAAAGAGACAGAGAAAGGGGGGAAGAGAGGAGAGAGGGAGAGAATTCCTATTTTCAAGGTGTTTACATTCTACTAGGAAGGGGAAAAAATAGAACATGCACAGAGGGCATACAATGAAAATTCAAAGAATTTGGCAACATTTAGCATATTGGGCCCCTGAGTTTTCTGATGTATGGATAGAAGGAATATAAAATAAAAAAGAAAAGTTAGGACCAGAGTATTTTATACTTAGAGCTGAAATGAATTTAAGAAGTGATGCAGTCCAATTCATTTTTTAGGTGATGGAGGGAGGAGGGGGTATAAACATTTATAAAAAACTTATTATATGCTAGGGACTGTGCTAAGTGCTTTTACAAATACTTTCTCATTTGATCCCCAACAATTCAGAGATGTAGGTGCTATTATTTTCCCCATTTTGCATTTCTATTATGTACTTTGCTACCAGCTACCTCTAAGAAACTTAGGCCCCAGTTGGTTAAATGGTTTGTCCAAAGTCAGAAAAGAGACATAGGATCCAAATATGGAAAGGGAAAATTCCAGAAAGAATATTCTGTATTTTTTTCCTTTTGTGGTAATGGTAGAGGAGAAAGAACTACTGAAGATTTCGGAATAGGGAAGGATTTAT